TACTTTAATTTATATTCAGTCTAAAAGTCATAAAGTATTATTAAGACTTTGAATTATCGTTAAGACATTGGAAGTTTTCCTTTGAATATTCCTTAAATTTTATAAATATCTTTGAGTATTTCGAAAGCCCCATTAAAATGATAACATTATTATTATTTTGTAAATTTAAGTTATTTATATATTTTTACTAATTTAAAAATATAAAAGATTAAATATTTATAATAAAAAAATTAAAAATTATAACTAAAAGTAAATAATATATATTTTATTATAATAAGCTAGAATAATATTCAATAACTTCACTAAACTTTACTAAGTTTCTTTACAATTTTAAAAATGATAATTTAAGATAATAAGTTTTTCAAGTAACTATTTTTCAAGTTAATTATAATAATTGATTATTTAATATTAATATATCTTTCAAAATCAAAATTAATATAATATATAACTTAAGATAAGTTATAACTTTGAAATTTATTAATAAGAGATTATTATTCTATAATAACTTAATTTTTTAGAGTTATGATATATGCTATATTTATATAAAACTATTAGATCTAATATAATTAATCTCTATTATTTTATTTGTTATTATTGCTTGGATTATTATTATTGCTATTATTACTTGGAATACTTTAATTACTTTTATTACTATTTTATATTGATTAATTAATTATAAATAGCTTGAATCTTAATCAATAAACTATTTTAGTTTTCTGTTCAATAGTATTAATAATATAATTCTTCAAATTATTTTTAATCAAGAATTTATATTGTAATACTATCTAAATCTTAAATTATTATTATTTAATAAAAAGCACTTTATAATTAATTAATATACTTTTTATTAATAATATTTTTTCTAAATTAAAAAATCTAATTACAATTAATTATAATAATTTTACAAGACTAATTTACTTAAAAAATTATATATAATTTTATTTTATTTTTTATTAATATTTTTAAAATCTTTATATATATAGTTAAATTTATTTATAGTTTTATTTATTTATAATCATATTTATTTTTAATTATATTTCTTTATAAATATTTTCTATTTATATATAAATATAATAAAAAAATTTCTTTATAATTATTAAATATTAGTTTTTTAAAAATAATAACTACAAAGAGATTTGATTATATATTTTTGTTATATATTATAATAGTATTTTAAAGTTATTTATATTAATATGTTATTGTTGAAAATAATTATAAATAAGAAATAAAAATAAATTTGAAACAGATTCTAAAAGTAAAATTATTATTATTATTATTATATTTAAAAAACAAATTTTATTATAATAAAACAAAATAAATCTAAAGCAAAATTATGAATAAACAAAAAATAAAAAATAAAAAATAAACTAAAGTGTATTTAAAAGCAAAAAAAATGAATAACAAAAGTAAATCTTCAAGTAATTATATATTATATAATTCTCTTAGTAATAAACTTAACTTGTTCTATAATTTTTCTTATAATTATAAAAAGAAATATGTATAAAAATCTTTTATTATACAAATACTGTTAAAAGAACTAGAATAACAATATTAATTAATTCAATACTCTTTTAAAAAGTGAATCTAATTAATACATATTTAAAAAATTATAAAACTTGTACTTATAAATAAGATTTAAATTAGATATATATATGTAATTAATAATTATGGATATTTATTATTATAATTAATATATAAAGATTTATTATTAATTTATTATTATATTTTTTAAAAATTGCAAATTTTTGCAAAATATAATATAATAATAATTAAATTTTTATTTTTATATATAATTTTATTTTTATGTATAATATTTTTATATAATTTATCTATCTATATAACTTAACTATATGATTTATTTTTTAATTATAAATAATATAATTTAGGCTATGTTAATAAGTTCTGTTTGATTATTTTTGATTATTTTAATTTATATTTCATAATTGGCAGTTTCAATAAGTCCAATTGTTATTTTATTTTTGTTAGGCATTATCAATAAGTCTTGTTATTCACTTTTTAGTTATTTGTTAATTTCTTTAATTCCTTTTATATTTCTACTTTAATTTTCTATCTATTTTTATTCTTTATTGTTGGTAGTTAGTTGGTTTGCACACAAACTATCACAGGAGACCTTTAGAATCTTTAGTAAACCCTATTAATCATAATTCATTCAGTCTTTGTTCTTTCACTGTTATGTTACTTTGTTAATTCATTAATTTCAATAATTTTGAATTAATGAAAACAATATATAATATACATATATAGTATTTCAAAAAGTAACACTCAGTCCAAAATTATATAATAAAACATAATATATGAAAATTAAAAAATTTCAAGTTATATATATATATATATTTTATTAGTAATTTTATATTATTTTAAAGCTAATCAATTATATTTTTGAAAAAAATGAATAAGACTTAAAATGAAAGAACGGTTTTAGATATCATTCTATTTTTTACTAGGGACAAAGATAAAAAAAATAATAAATCAGCTCTAGAAATTCAAGAAGTCGATCGTTGTTGTGTTCCCAGTAAAATTTTAACTAGAAACAATATAATCATTACGGATTTCTTTTGAGACGCGACAAAATCCATTTTGAGCACGTGTTCAGATAACATTTACAATTTGATAAAAATAATTGACTAAATATTGAATGAATGCTAGAACACGATCATATGAAAACTGATACTACCTATCGACCAAAGCTAGGTAAGGCTAATTTGTTAAAAATGATGTCAGAGGGCAAATACATCTGCAGAGCGCTACAAGTCATAGTGAAAATTATAATAAAGCAAAAAAAGTATTGAATTTGGTTTTGCTAAAAGCCGAACAAGATCATGGACAAGGGCTAGGGTTAACAGGATATTTACTACAATCAAAACTCCAGTTAAACTCAGTACCACTCATTTCAAAACATGCATCAGAGTCAGCTTCCAAATTTTACTAATCTTAGACATTCTCACTTGAACAGAATATGTCTGGCCATTTGGTATATCGGAATAATCTATTAATTGAAAACTGTTGCACCATGAGTTACCAGAGTCCATCCAAAACAGGGCGCATCAGTTACAAGAGTAGAAAATACTCGCTATACATTATTTGTACAAACGAAATTTATTAGAACAGGAAAGATCAAATATTTTGCTATAAATATTCGAGAGCTTACCTTCAGATACGTGAGTTACTATGAAACAGATAATGGAGATGGTAAGATTGAAAAAGGTTGTAGAATACTTGATGAGCGTAGCAAAGTGTTATTGGTTAGAACAAAAAAAATACTACGTTTTCGGTGCAGAATAGCAAAGGAGTGCGGTTCTTGTTTCTTCCTCGGGGCGTATATAAGTTTTGCTTACGCATGAATTCATGTGATTACGGCCCCATAATACCTAAAAAGAATCAGCAAAACATGTGAGCTTCACTCCTTTTATATATACATGACATAGAAGATCGGATCGGCTTTTTCCTTTACTAAATTGGAAACACCTGCATCCTTTTACTCATCGCGTTTCGCGCGTCACTCGTGACGATAAAAACGTGAAGCACGTGGTTATCTGGTCTAACGATCCACTCGAATGACGAGGCAAACGCAAAAATATTCAACTTCACAAAAATCAAGCATGGTTGATGGTAGAGAAGGCTATCTTATATCCCTAAAATAAGCAAACAAAAAATTAAATCAGAAAACTTTTTTTCGGCTTCTCAAATGGCGCGCGAAACGTATTCTGTAATGATAAATGATAGATTAATCCATAGGCAAGCTAGGGCACTTCGTGCCAATTTGGGCATTGCCCTCATGTCGGGTCCTCAAGTGACGATCATCACGTCAAGCTATGGCACTCCGTGCCTATCCTCGACACAATGTGCCTCAGTACCACAGCCTGGCCCTCAAATGACGTGATAAAGGTAATCATGAGTGTACCATATACTATATAGGGATAGGAATCTATTCTCAACCCAGAATCGATTAATAGTTTATATATAATCGATTTTCAATTTGAGAATCGATTCTCAGAATCGATTCTAAATTAATCAATTCTAGAGAATCGATTCACATCCCTATCACCCGCAGGTTATGATGTCTCATCTGTGACGTGGAAAACGCAAACTACTCGTCACTCGAAATAACCTAATTATGTTATTTCCACTATTTAATCTAGAAAAATCAAGATTTTTTGATAATCTTAAAACCAAGATTAAAATGGTTTTAATTATAATCTCTTGTTTATTTTGAGATTCACAAACGAATATTATACATTTATAATTGTATTCATTACTTTTTAAATGGATGCAAGTGATGAGAATAAAAAAAATATCAAAATTTACGATCACTTATCAAATAGTTCAAGTTCTAGATAATTTTCCAAGGATCTTTCTAAATAAAATGTTAGTTATTGCAAAATAACCGGTTTTTTAAAAGTATAAAAATCTTCTGAGATCAATATTTAAGCGCAAATATGCAAAATAATGATGATTGATGAATGTTATATTAATATTTAATTTTTCAGGTTACATACTAGTAATTTTCAGCCATTTTATAGATTATAGAGGGCATTCTATCATTTTTTTTGATATCGATGAATACGGTGCGGCGCACTTAATTAAACTCATTACGTTTTAGATTCTATAAACTAGGAAGGAAATACAAAATTTAAGCCAACAGAATTATAGAATAGGCCTTCTTGATTATTCTATTTTGGATTTCCTTCCTAGTTTATTAGAATCTAGAACATAAAATTCGTTGAGGAGTTTCGGTGCGCCGCACCAAATGACTTGAATTGGACATAAGTTTAGGCAAATTTTTTTGAAGGATTCTCGAAATAACTATTACAGAGTGCTGAATAAAAATACAAACTATTTAATCATAACGATAACGATAACGACAGCTTTTAAAATCTATTATAAACCTGCTTATCATCTTTCTTGCAGATATCAAAGAACGCTAGTACATGTGGCTGACAGTTACACTACCTTTATGTTCATTCGACCATTTAATTTCACCATCAATTTTCACAGATATATCAGATGCATCATGCCATTCTTCGACAACTATTGACATATAAAAACAAGAAAATCTCCATTTTGACCGTATTTCCATTCATCATTTACCTAACCATGATTATCGCGTCCATTGTCTTTTCGTTTTCTCATTGAGCAATCAAGCATGAAACCATTAACCCCTAAAGTCATCCCAGAAAGGCATCAATTCTATTCTATCATCGTTTATTAATAGTTTTTGTGATGATGAGGATCCGACTAAAATTATAGTTTCGTATACGTGTGTCAACCACTCCTACGGGAATACGAAATCCGATCAGTCGTCATCTTCGTGATTATTGGTACGTCGTCGTACGTGACTATCTGTGTGTTACGTGTGGCCGGTATCAATCATGATAGGGGGTCGGTCGGAATGTATACCAATAATAGTCGGCGTTTATTCGGTGATAAAGAAACAAAGATGGAATGTGCTAAAGAATTTAAGGATTAGAATGTTTGGAATGTTTGAATGCTTGTAAAAAATCCCCTGACACAAAAAATGTTTAAGAGGTGCTCATTTAACATATACCAGAGACAGAAATGAAAAAGATTATGACGGCGTATACTACTATAATCATTCAAAAAGCACGCCAAGATTTCCCAATCTTTTCAACACACAAAAAACCATTCAAGCGATGATTTCGTTAGGATACCAATAACCATTCAAGCGATGATTTCGTTAGGATACCAATCATGCTAATCATGCCAAACATGCTAAAAAATACGCATAGAACAAAAGAAGCATCCCTTATTCCATGATTTTTTCTATATTTGATTTTGGGGGCGTCGAATTTTCGTTAACCGCATTAGTGCAAACTACCACACTTAATACTGCAAATCGTTCATGAACTTTGCCACGTGTGAAAAAAAATCGCTTTACTTTTTTTTTTCTTCATGCTATTCATACTATTTTGGATACTCTGCATTTATGCAAGCGAACCAAAGTTTTATTTTTTTATTTTTTTGCATACAGTACATTAATGTATAACATGCATCAGTACTACCTGCTGCACTCAGTTTTTGCTTAAAGATACTAAACCTAACAACAGGTCGGCAAGCAAGTAACAGCAGGCAATCAATCAGTATAAGCAGGCACGATATCAACGTGTGGCAGTCTAATTTAGTGCGTCTCAATGTAATAAATTCAAACCGCGCATGATTTTTTTATTTTCATTCGTTATTGCATGTGTAAGAAAGTAAGGACACGTAATTGTTGAAAGAACGATGAAACTTGGTCTAGAAATAATTGAATCGAATCTAACGAAAAATATCTATCGCATTGTCAATCTAACACAAATTCCTTTAAGTGAAAATCAATGGCTGTGTCACGTCTGTGTGTCACATATGCATTAAATTACCCGGAATATGCGTGTAAATAGCATATATCTAACGCATGTATAAGATATCCACGTTTCCGATTTAAATATAGAGTGAGTACCTGTGTGTGTGTGTGAATAAGAAAACAACAGCAGTTGTCCTACTTTGTGTCACTCGATTTAATTATGCTAATTATGTTATTTATGCTGTTTATGCTGTTTATGCTGTTTATGCTGTTATTTAATGTACGTTATTTTGTGATTATATATATGGTTGGGGAGGAAAAACTAATAAAAAAAAAGATTTTTTTTATTTGTTTGAGGATTATTACAAGAAGTCATTTTTTTTACCTTTATTATATTGTACAAATTTTTACTTTTGTATTGTACAGACCAACACAATCAATATATATAATACAAGTTTTTCTTTTTTTTCTTGCTTTGTGTGGTCGTTAATTACCTTTTACTCACTTTACTCTTTTTTTGTGTGTATCCGCGAGGGTGCGTATATGTGTGTGTGTTCTCTCTTAAAACAATTATAACTTTTTTCAGTCATCATCATATTTTGTATTTGGACACCATAAACTAATCCATTATAGTTGATACTATTGTGATTATAGCAATAGTAAATAAATACACTCAAAGCACAAACTCCCTACTTAATTTTTCCAACTTAACGTTTTCAGATAGAAATTTTTTGGCACTTTCAACAAAGAAAAAGAAACTGACTTGCTGGTTTCGTCAATTTATTATAAATTTATCGTTTTCTATCTTGGTGGCATTTTTGCTGCTTGTTACCGTTTATCAAGGTTTTTTTTATTTTAAAATTTTTCAGCGCATTGCAAATTCTTTTATTTTATATAAACCAACCACTCAAAGAAAGAAAGAAAGTAAATAAAAAAAAATGGGCGCCGGTCAATCAAGAACAGAATACAATAGCAACGAACAAGGAGCAAGCAGCACAACAACAGCAAAACTCTCACTCCATGGCGGTGGTTCTTCGTCTTATAACCCTTCTTCGACAAGAGGAACTGTAAATGCTTCAACACGTCGTTCTCGTTTTCGAACACTACGTAATCGTCTCTCGACGTCGTCGTCTCAAACAAATGACAGCTCGTCGTCGGATACTTACCGTTTCGCAGACGGAAGACGATTTTTGGATTCTTCGAAAAATGCCAATTCCGTCAAAAGTATCACAGATTTCTACATTACCACAACGACCAGGGGTGCTGCTGGTATTGGTGCTGACATAAAGGAAAACAATAAGAACAGCAACAACAGCAACAACTACAACAACAACAGTAACAACAGAATACAAATTATCGAAGACGTGGAGAAATTGAAACAACAACACCAGTTGTTCAAACGTGTTTGGAATGGGAATTATTCGGCGCCTGTGAAAATGAGGCTTAGAGGTGGTGCAGCCAAAGTTTTGGATGTTGGGTAAATATTTTTTGTTTGGATTCGTGTCTTTAGTAAAAAAAATTTTTTTTTGGTGAATTCGCGTGGTGGCGTATTGATTGGTTGTTCTTGGTGTGTTCAAATTACCTTTTTATTGAAAATCGGTAATTCGTTCTTATCTATATTTGGCATGGTTAAGGGTATTCGTTTATTTGCACATCTCTGCACATGTTATAATTATGACGATCTCTGCATGGCTTTCCATGTGTATGCATGTCTGTGTATGTGTATCAGAATGCTGAAATTAAAAGATCATCCACCATTCATTCCTTTTACGATTAGTTACTAAACATTTAAACATTTAATTTTTTTTGTTTAACAAAAGGTGTGGGACAGGAACATGGGTATTAGAAATGGCAAAAGAGTATCCTGCATCAGCGTTCACAGGCATCGACCTTGCGCCTGTGTTCCCATCATTATCAAACAACAATAACAACAACAATAATAATAACACTACGTCGTCATCAGAAAAGAAGCTGATGAATGTACGATTTATGCAGTGTGATGTGTTGGATGGGTTACCCTTTCCAGGTATATATCATTCTTGTTCTTGATGATTGATGCTGTCAAAATCCAATTTCTTATTTTTAAACTTTATTCCATAGACAATACCTTCGACTACATCCACATGCGCCGCATGATTTCCAGTTTCAAAGAACACGAATTCCAAGACAAAATTCTGCCGGAGCTGGTTCGTGTACTACGACCAGGTGGATGGGTAGAAATCATGGAGATTGATAATGAGTTGGTTAATGGTGGGTCGATTGCTGCTCGATTGACTACTGCACGTAAGTTTAATTATTTAACCGGGTGGTTCGTTAATTATTCGATTAATTTTTTTTACTAATCATATCTGATATAATAATGTAGTGTATGATTATTTGTACACCCATGAAGTAATCGCGTCAATTAGCACTCTAATCCCGAAATACATGGAATCAGCAAAAGGGTTATCGAGTCCTCAGATTCTTGAAAAATCATGCTTCTTGGGAAAATGGGCCGGAAAACTTGGGCATCTGGTAAGTTCTTTTCTGATCTAATACGATCTTGCAAAATCAATCTATTTTCCAACGACACTCACAAATCATGTCGGTTACACCAAAAAATAACAGGCGCTCGAAGACGTGACAAAATCATACAAGTCACTTCGCCAGCCACTATCCAAGGACTTGAACATCTCCACCAAAGAATACGATGAACTGGTTCGACAGTTTAGCAAAGAACTCGAGCAGTCGCATCGGACATTATCAAAGACATGGCGGTTTTTCGCGCAGAAAGGTATGGCAGATAACGGTGTGTTGTCTGTTAATACTGGCGATGTCACGTTCGAGACGAGGACATCGACGACGAACATTACTACAAATTAATTGATTTAACGAAGCAGCATGATATACAAGGCGAGGCTTTTTTGTACACACATATAAATACGCATATATACATTTATATACCTATATATAACCTCAATCAGATTATCGTGTTCGCGTCTTAACACACCAATGTATATACAATAATCATCAATATCATCACACATCATATCGTATATATCCCATACATTCTTACATACTTACACCACTCATATTCATCTTCAACCATTTTACATATCACTTACATCATACACACATATTTTTCCTGTATATTTTTTCCATCATCATACTCACTTTCATACATACTTCCATCTACCATCTTCATCAGTTCAATCATTTCTTCATACATACATTCATCTACCATAATTAGCGGTTCAGATAAAATTAATAATAATGGACTATCCTATCGTTCCTGGCTACGAAATAATAATGTTCTCTCATTTTTTATTCTTTGATAATGTATATATTTATTTTTTGTTTATTCTTGTGTTTGGGAAGGGACGGGGGCGACGAAACGACATTCACCAGTGATACATGACGACAAAGATTATGTATATTGATAAAGGCGAAAAATTTATATTTATTTGTTTATTGGATTATTCGTTGTTTGATATATCTTTGTGTTTCGAATTTAATAAAGAAAACAAAAAGATCATGTGGTTTTTCTCTGCATGTATTTCCTGTCATTGTTCATTCGTTATCAATTATTCGTGCATCTAACCTATGGTTCTTCGCTCAATAATAAAGCGGCAACGTTAGCGACCGAGGCAGGGATTGAACCTGCGACCTTCTGCTCCGGAGGCAGACGATCTTTCCACTGATCTACACGGCCTCTGTAGTGATGCAATTTAGGTACAAATTTCTTATATCTAAAGAATAGTGACAGTTTGGCGAGCATTAATTGGAGATATAGCGATAGTTGATAAATTATAATCGATTTTATATTTTACAAGCAATCGTCGATGATTTTTATACAAAAATCTTTTTTCCCTTACTCTCTTCTCATTCTCAAATAAATAAATTTAAGCGGTTGGCTTTGATGCAAGTTTACGTTTGAATTGTCTAGAAGATATTTTACAAAAAAAGAATAAGACGACCTATGAAGCAATCATGAATTCAACCCAACAGTGTCATCATACTCGTCCTCGCTTGAACTTGTACTACTTGGTTTACTCCGTACAATCAACACACTATCATCACCAACCTCAACACTATCTCCAACCCCGTCACCATCAGGTTTATCCTCTCCACCAATTATATCTAGCATCGTATGATCCTCCAACGAAGGAGGTTGTGGAATAATCGCCGAGACCCCCGAGACTGTCGACATTCGAGAAACAGTGACAGAAAGCGCCGGGGACGTTGATCGTTCGATGAAAGTAACTCCATCTCGGATCTCTTCTACTCTTGGTGCTGCCACTTCAGTCCCGTGTGTTATTTGATCATTGTCAACAACAACACCACTAGTGCTTCGATCATCATTACCGCTGTTAATATTATGTGATGAATTTATTGCTTCGTATGGAGGTGGAAGTTCACCTGGAGGCATCAACCAATTTGTGATTGACGTCATTATGCCGGGTGGTGGTTGATCCTCGACAGTCTGATATGGTGGCAAAGTGGCTATACTATTGCTTCGACGTATTGAACCAGGATTCAGTAATATTGACGCGCCTCTTCTTATTTGTAATCCCACCGATGAGATGGGTGTTGTGCTATCTCCGTTATTCCCATTGTCATTCTGATGATCATTTTCCGATACTATCGGATCCAACTGTTTTTTGAACAATCTTCGCGCGTAAGCGATTAATATAACCGAGATTATCATGATCAATACACAGACGGTTATCACGGCAGTTTGTCCGCCACTTGAGACACCGCCGTTTCCGACCCCTCCACCATTACCACCAAGTTGTTTATAACTAGCATTCGGCTTTCGTCCGTTACTGGTTAATATTGAGAAAGCGGATGGGGACAATGACGGGTTGAAACATATCGTGGAATTATCATCATCAGTATTGTTATATGTATTCAACAGTTCAAAATTGGAAGCAAGATTAGGACCCGTACATTCTTCGCTTTTACATTGATTCGACGATTTACATCTTTCACCAGGATCTAACTTGTCGCGACATCTTTGCATGGATGCGTCACAATATAGTCGCGTCTTTTCAAAATCGTCCAGACAAGACCCGATATTTATCAATAAGTTATAATAGCTGTTTTGGGGCGGTATTAGTGCTGCTGATGGTGGTGATGATGTTATATCGGCATTCCAATGCGCATAAGCAAACCATTTCACAAATTCCCCGGCTTCACCCTCAATACGCGGCAGATTTTCACATTGCTTTCCCGCTGAATCAGCAAATAATGGTCCTGCGTACTCGATCGGTGGAAATGTCGTGACATTTAATTTCCATTTTGAACTATCACCACCACTATCACTATTCCGACATGACAGTGTTCTTGGTGGTATGATGTAACACGATTGATCATTGTTGCAAATTGGACTTTTATATCCACATGATTTTGGATTTAATGCTGCTTCGATATAGTCCGCAGATGATGGTGGTATAGCTGTAGTCGATGATGTAGCTGTAGTCGATGAGGTAGCTATAGTCGAAGATGTGACCGTTGTGATCGTGTTTGTTGTGGATGTTGAACTTGATAATGATGATGGTTCTTTTGTTGGATCTTGAGTTGTTGTCTCATTGTAAAAAGATTCCATTAATATTAATTTTATGATATTTACAAAAAAAAGGTTATTTTTTTATTCTTGCTCGGTGCTGAAAATCTCAGATCTCTCGGTGACCAAGATCAACGTCGAGTTACTTGATTGTTGCTTTTGTTACTGCTGTTATTTTTACACGGATGTAGAGCGAAGACGAGCCAGTCGCGCGCATACACAGAGATGTGTAAGAAACAAAAAAAAAACAAGCAAGCTTTATTACACCGATATCGAGTCGCAATACAAAGACGGTTGTTGTTTGCACTTTCGTTGTGAATTTTTAATTTAACCTCGGCCATGTATACCAAACATTCATGCATGTGCGTCGAACTAATATGCGGGATCACAAATTTTCCGAACAACTTTATTTGATTATTCATAGAAGTAGCAAAAAGGTTAGATCCTCAATTTATATGCGGTGATAACGATAAGCCTCATGGTGTCGTAAAATAGGCTTGGGCGAATAGCCACCACACACACAGTTCTCGTCATGTAATGCCATTCATGTACAGTACCTGACCAAAACTTGTTTTGTGGTATGTTTGGATTCTTATAAATAAGTATAATTTTGCATTTTAGATTCTCATAAATTTGTTAAAGCATGCTGGTGATGGTGATTGTCACTGATGAGACAACTTCCCCCTTACGCTTACCCCTATTTCATATAAGCACCAATGAGCTTTAGCGATTTCTATTTGTGAAAATTTCTAAAATGACAATACTTCTGCAACCTACTTATTGAAATGAAAGAATTTTACCGAAGTACAGTGCTCGTCAGAAGTAACGTACCACCCTTAACTTCCATAGTTCATGTGTAATGAACATGTACCAAAATTTTCCGTGCACAAAAAAAATTACAAATGCTGATCGTTGATACCTTTTATAGATTGGTAGAGCTATATCGGGTATTGTATAGTGATCCAATTTGAATGAAAAATAATACCATACAATTTGCCTAATCTAGGCAAATCAAATGGTGGTATTTTCACTCAAATCGGACCAATAGATGTCGAGATATTATGTCCTAAAGTGACCGATTCATATTTGTCGATCAATTTTTCATTAGTCAATTTTTGTTAGTATCAAAAAAATGAATCTGCTACTTTAAGACGCAATATTTCGACGTCCAGTGACCTGATTTGAACAAAAATAATACTGTTCGATTCGCCTCGACTAGGCGAATCGAAGGGTAGTATTTTTGTTCAAATCGGGTCACTGGACGTCAAGAATTAGATTATTGAATACTGAGATGTGTGTTATGAAATAACTGATTATACATGTATATATTTTGAACATACAACGCCCAATACAGAAGCTTTACCGATCTATAAAAGGTATCAACGATCAGCATTTGTAATGATCTTTGTGCTCGGAAAATTTTGGTACATTACACATGATCTATGGAAAGTTAAGGGGGGTACGTTACTTCTGACGAGCACTGTATGACTTGAAAAATTCAAACCAATATGATTACTATTAATATCGAACGACTGAACTTTTCGTTTGCCTAGCCGGAAACCTTGCTCGGAACAATGTTTGCTAATCAAACCAACAACAACTTCGAAAAATCAATCAATCTTTTTTTTTGACTAAAATGGCCGTGCTTTCACAAAACACTAACTGGTTTATCCTGCTCGGTGACTTAATTATTTCCAATCAAAATTTTAACGATATTGTATATGGATATACGGTTAAATGGAAAAGGGTCACAGGTATTATTTTCTTTTTTACCGATACCATCATCAGTTTGATTTTCTTTGTTATCATATAACCAAAGAAACAGGTTACTCATGCTTTACAATCTTCTGCGCCAGGCACCCATTTTAGAACTCTGGCTTCTTAATTAGGAACTTTAACCTTGGATTTTGAATTTACGTACTTTATAATCGAGAAGTTCTAGATAAGCGAAAATAAAAGAAAAATAGAAGCAGCTTAGGGCATACCTACTCATCCAGCATAACCAATACCAAATGCCATACACTCTTCGAATATAAAGAACATTGATGAATATTTATTATACATGAGGGTTATTGATCTCAGGTATGTACTATATAGAAGCTCTCTAAACACCAGAAATAAAATAAAATCATAGTAGTCACACCCATTGTACATGTAGTTGAAACTTAAATTAAGAAATTGAATGAACACGAACGCTGTGACCATTAATTTTTACCTTTTAAATGAGTAAATTCTCTAGGTTTCAGTATATTCTTCTGCTCAACGTGAACCAAGTTTTAAAGGCATTCCTTCGAGACGTGACATTTCTTTTATTGTGCTTTCTTTAATCTCAGTATCGTTATTGTTATTTTTCAATACTGTTTTGGACGATCAGTTAAGTTGAATTTATCGTTATGCAAAAATTAGAAATCAACTGTGTTAAAATTAATTTATTGACATGATAGTTTGCGAATGTAAATTATTAATATTACAGTGTTTTTCTAATGAAAATTATTTCCTCAACATATCGAGATGCTATTCTAAGCTTGAATGTTTTCATATACATGTACATTAAGTTATAAACTTTTATGTCCAAATACAAAATTATCTATGGAAACAAATGCAATTGTTGGACTACAGATAAAAAACATGTTTATGTGTCGTAAGTTACCCAATTTCAACGTCAACGCAATGTTGAACGGGAGACAAACATGGAAAGTACAGTAGACTAGTGCTCCTATCAAACCGAACCGAACCGAACTTTAGGTCGAGTTCGGGTTCAGTTCGAATCCGAACCGAACCCGAACAGGGGTTTTACATTTTTTCGAATCCGAATCCGAACCCGAGTCCGAGCCCGAACTCGCAATTCCCGAACCCGAACCCGAACATCGTTATGGGTTCGGTTCGAAGTTCATGAACAAGTTCGGGTTCGGTAGGGTTAATTTTGAAAGCCGGAGCATTCCAATGATATTGCAGTAAAGATATTGTTTGATTCTAAGTACGTATAATTAGGAATCCAAATTTGATGTCAAAATATTTGAAACATAATATTTATACATGTACAAGTATTAATAAAATTAATATTTATCATACAAAAATCTAACCATTTTTAAATTTCATATAAATCAAATTATTAATCGAGTACGTAATATACCAGATCACACCAAAAATTCATGTTACATAGTTATCTAACTTTCCTTTTAATGGCCCCTGCATCCATGATTGGAGACACTGTGCTGCTCTTATGGTCTTAGGCATCAAGCTAGATCTCTTATTCGTAATCATGCTTCCACCAGCAGAGAAGGCACGTTCAGAAGCAACGGAGGATGCTGTAATTACCAAATAATCACGAGCCATATGGGCAAGATGAGGAAACTGCCTAAATATCATATTATTCAATTTCAAATTATTATTTTTAATAGACAACTATTATCATTTACCTTTCACATGCCAGCACATTGATTTTCCTATTGGCCAGCTTCTCAGAGATATAGAGTTCGATTTCATCAAGATTTTCTTTATCAAAATCTGCATCCAGCATGGAATATATAACTGATTTTATATTATCATTAAGGCTGATGTCTGATAAAAAGCTGTTATTGACGTGAAAGTGTTAGTTGATGCATATTCCATTTCAAAGAGTGTGCATTCTAAGAGTTAGAAAATAAAATAAAATATTCAAAATAAATTTCTTTGTTTATCAATCTCGTTATCCGAAAATTTCTTCTTTGTGAAATAATGGAATTTTCTCCTTGGATCCAATGAGGTACACAACATAATAGTTATATTTGTTTTAGAATAATACTGAACTAACTTTTTTCTCACTATCATAGCTACTGCAACAAGTGATGAAACTAATAATTAAATTTGTTAAAAGTGAGCTAGTAAATACAATCAAATTTTTTAATACTATACCAACTTCATTCTTTGTTTCCACATCTGAAGCTATATTTTCAACATCAGGAAATTTTTTGGGGTGATTTGTATCGATATTTATCGTTAGTTATATATCGATATATATCCAAGTCGTTGATGCATATTGAAACAGATATTTGATATATATCGATATATATCAGAGTCATCGATGTATATTGTTTAACAATATAGATCGTTAAATATCATTGTTTAATGATGTAGATTGTTAAATATCATTGTTTAATGATATACAACGTTAAATATCATTGTTTAACGATATATATCATTAAATATTATTATTTAACGATATACATCGTTAAATATCATTGTTTAACGATATACATCATTAAATATCATTGTTTAACGATATACATCATTAAATCAACTTATTTCATTAAATATCGATATATGTGTAAATATCGTTATTTAATGATTTTTATTATTAAATTCAGAATATTCTT